GATGTGACATGGAAATTATAGAAACTGTATATAAAAAGCTCAATCAATGCAATATAAGTAAATCATTTCATTCTGCCTAGATATTAAAGAGACTGTGTATGTGTTCAGACTCTAGACCCATTGCAGTGTATTGTGGATAAATGAGGAGCGCAGTATCCCGACATGCACTTTGGTAGGAGGAGCCAACAAAATTACGTCTGAGGCACTCGCGGCCCTGATATGTGCACACCGAGTAAACGGTTTAGAATCTGAATATAGTGTAGGCGGTACAACAGACGAAGGGGGAGATGTGTAATCAACAGCGGGTGTTGCAGATAGCCAGCGTGTGTCCCACTTGCTGCTAGCACGTACGATGTACGTGCGTTGTGGAGAGCGGCGGTGTCGATTGATGAGCGGGACCCCCCCACCCCCCGATTGTTTCATGACTGTAGCGCGAAGTGATGTCGCGTGCGTGCAGAGCAAGCTGGGTTTACACTGACGATTTTATGCAGTCAAGTTGGCGTTTTTCTTCTTTCTACGAACCTCTATGTATGTTCAAAGCTCTTACGTTATCGACCGCGAGGCTGCAAACGTTTCAACATTTGACCCGTAGCGTGCACGCGGGACGACGCGGATACACATTTTTGCACGTATCACATGCCGCCAGCGTGGCGTCTATAGCAAAAACGTGCTCTCCCCCTAGTGTGGAAGGACACGCCATTGATTGCTGTTCTCTGATTGGCCACTTGGCAAAAAAACGTCCAACTCGAGTTCAGTTATGACTGCTAGGGGTGACGGGTGCCTGGGAGAGGTCCACTCTATGTTCCCCCGTCCCTATTTTCCATTGTCCCTAGATATTCTTATTTTGCTTTACTACGGCTATGTATCACCACATTACAGCAGAACATAATATGCTATATCTGCCAAATACTCATAGGTCAACATGCGCACATAGCCATTGGTAGGCATAGACAACAAAATCTCTCTCTCTCCCCCTCTCTCTCTCTCTCTCTCTCTCTCGCTCACACTCGCTCTCCCTCGTTGTCTCTCTCTTTCTTTCCCTTTCTCTCTCTCACTCTCGCTCTTGCTCTCTCTTCCCTTTGCGCGCTTTTTCTCCCCCTCTCTCTCACTCGCTCACACTCACTCTCCCTCGTTGTCTCTCTCTTTGTCTTTCTTTCTCTCTCTTTCTCTCTCTCTCTCTCTCTCTCTCTCTCTCTCTCTCACTTGCTCTCTCTCTCTCTCTTTCTCTCGCGTTATCTCTCTCTCCCTTGCTGTCTCTCTCTTTATCTCACTTTCTCTCTATCACTTCCTCGCTGTCTCTCGATGCCGCGTACGCCACCAGCCAAATCGCAGCCAAATCTTCCCCACCACCACGTTCGCGATCAGCCCATACCTCTGAGAACACCTGACAACGGCTACGTACGGACAGCAGTGGCACGGTTTTTAACTTTTTACTCCTGGATGATATTTACGGCACGTAAATGAATATCAACAACCGATTTCAAGTCTTGCTTGTAATGTAACCAGCAGTGATATTGGACAAACTAATACGCGTTAGGCTATAACATGTATAAGGTTATGTACTTATTAACTACACAAAGTGCCAGTGAGTTACTCTAGCATTTGTCAACATTGCATAATCAATGGGCCTAGTATGCTGAATATTAGCCTAGATATTACTTCCCAGATAGTATGTATATTATGAAATGTGTTTTCAGACATGGGAGAAAGGTGCTGGATACAGACACGCTGTTCCGCTTTGCGAACCTACCGAATAAAGCCCAGCTAGAAATGGTTTCCGCGTCGCACGCGTGCGCGAGGAGTGACACAGCCGTCACGGTGGCCCTCCAGTTAGAAGATGGCCAGCGACTACAGGCTGACTTCAAGCCAACGGTGTCCGTGTGGGACATTCTTCAACACTGGGAACACGAGAATAGGTACATCTATACTGCAATGTGTTGTAAACCAGCTGGAGACAGTTTAATGTTTTTTCTTAATTTATAGAAATTTTTGTCATGGCAATTGATTAGCAAGTGAAGACGTCAAAGTGAGGCCGATGCTATTCCACTTTCCTATGAGCTGTACTATGGCCATGTGGCTTTTTTGTTTCGTTTTTCTACTGCCCATAGAAATATTTGCTATGGCGATCGATCAGTACAGTGAGACCAATGCTATTCCACTTTTCTATTTCGCATTGGCATATTTTGGCCATGCTAAGCCAAAATATTGGCTTTTGCGGGTCAATATAGATCATCGTAATTATCATACTTGACATCTTGACTCAAATCACTATGCACGTGACGCCATCTACGGGACACGTCGTGCGTGGGATCGGGTTTTCTCGATTTCCCATCGTGACATTTGGCTGCATTTCCTGTCGTGACGACGTCACCTATCGCATTTATCTTCACATTTCTGCTTCTGTTTTCCCTAAAAAAAACGTTTGCGTTTGCAGTGGCCTCCATGGCAGCCTGTGTCGCCGTGCGGACGACGTAGCGGGGACGTCGCTGCACCCAGTGTGCACGTACTTGCAGCGCGAGATCGTCGGAGAGCGCTCCTTACAGACCACCTCACTCAAGTCGCTCGGCCTCACCAAAGGCAGAGCGCTGATCAGGTGACGTAGCAGACGAGTGAAGATTTCTGATAAACGCCGTATGCCAGTGTGGAATAATATTTAATAGTGACGTATCGTTTAGCTATTCGGCGCCGGAAAAACGGGCGACTACGCCGCCTCCTTCATTCACGTCGTTTGCGAATATTCTGTTAAGATGAAATCGGAATGCGATCGGAGCGCATTGCGTGACGCGGAGACGGGTTCCGGAAACATGATAAAAATGCAGAATGACGCGGTGTTCGCATCTCTGGCCTCGCTTGCTCATCTATAGGGGTGTCCGTTCGCTAACACGGGCGAGACCATGCTAGATGTTACAGTAACGCTAACGATGCAGCATCTGCATCTCTTGCCCCGCTAAAACGGGCATGACCACGCTAACGACGCTAACGATGCGGTGTCTGCATCTCTTCCCCCGCTAAAACGGGCGTGACCACGCTAACGACGCTAACGATGCGGTGTCTGCATCTCTTGTCCCGCTAAAACGGGCGTGACCACGCTAACGACGCTAACGAAGCGGCATCTGCATCTCTTGCAGGCTCGTCCACCGAGGCGTCGCCGCGTCCGTGATGGCCGACATCGACCGGGAAGCTGACGCGAGGATGCAGAGAGAGGCGAAGCTCGACGAACGCGTCAAGGTCACGCAGAGGTCATCCGACGGTGTCCAGGCAGAGAACCGGGAAGGGGAAGAGAAGAGGGTAGAGGCAAAGAACAGGGAGGAGGCAAATAACACGGAGGAGGCAAATAACAGGGAGGCAGAGAACAGGGAAGAGGCAGAGAAGAGGGTGGAGGCAGAGAAGCGGAGAGAGGCTGATGCCAGAAGTGTGGTGCCACGTACGACGCAGTCGTTTGCCGCGTCCACGACGTGCGAACCTTTATTCTCTTGGGAGCAGCAGCAGGTAAGTACGTATGTCCGAACTAGAACGCACCGTCTCGTACCCGATCACGACCTGCCGAAAATAATACTATAATAACTAATCACAATAATACCTGGAGTGAATAATAACAATGCTGAATATTAGCCTAGATATTACTTCCCAGATAGTATGTATATTATGAAATGTGTTTTCAGACATGGGAGAAAGGTGCTGGATACAGACACGCTGTTCCGCTTTGCGAACCTACCGAATAAAGCCCAGCTAGAAATGGTTTCCGCGTCGCACGCGTGCGCGAGGAGTGACACAGCCGTCACGGTGGCCCTCCAGTTAGAAGATGGCCAGCGACTACAGGCTGACTTCAAGCCAACGGTGTCCGTGTGGGACATTCTTCAACACTGGGAACACGAGAATAGGTACATCTATACTGCAATGTGTTGTAAACCAGCTGGAGACAGTTTAATGTTTTTTCTTAATTTATAGAAATTTTTGTCATGGCAATTGATTAGCAAGTGAAGACGTCAAAGTGAGGCCGATGCTATTCCACTTTCCTATGAGCTGTACTATGGCCATGTGGCTTTTTTGTTTCGTTTTTCTACTGCCCATAGAAATATTTGCTATGGCGATCGATCAGTACAGTGAGACCAATGCTATTCCACTTTTCTATTTCGCATTGGCATATTTTGGCCATGCTAAGCCAAAATATTGGCTTTTGCGGGTCAATATAGATCATCGTAATTATCATACTTGACATCTTGACTCAAATCACTATGCACGTGACGCCATCTACGGGACACGTCGTGCGTGGGATCGGGGTTTCTCGATTTCCCACCGTGACATTTGGCTGCATTTCCTGTCGTGACGACGTCACCTATCGCATTTATCTTCACATTTCTGCTTCTGTTTTCCCTAAAAAAAACGTTTGCGTTTGCAGTGGCCTCCATGGCAGCCTGTGTCGCCGTGCGGACGACGTAGCGGGGACGTCGCTGCACCCAGTGTGCACGTACTTGCAGCGCGAGATCGTCGGAGAGCGCTCCTTACAGACCACCTCACTCAAGTCGCTCGGCCTCACCAAAGGCAGAGCGCTGATCAGGTGACGTAGCAGACGAGTGAAGATTTCTGATAAACGCCGTATGCCAGTGTGGAATAATATTTAATAGTGACGTATCGTTTAGCTATTCGGCGCCGGAAAAACGGGCGACTACGCCGCCTCCTTCATTCACGTCGTTTGCGAATATTCTGTTAAGATGAAATCGGAATGCGATCGGAGCGCATTGCGTGACGCGGAGACGGGTTCCGGAAACATGATAAAAATGCAGAATGACGCGGTGTTCGCATCTCTGGCCTCGCTTGCTCATCTATAGGGGTGTCCGTTCGCTAACACGGGCGAGACCATGCTAGATGTTACAGTAACGCTAACGATGCAGCATCTGCATCTCTTGCCCCGCTAAAACGGGCATGACCACGCTAACGACGCTAACGATGCGGCGTCTGCATCTCTTCCCCCGCTAAAACGGGCATGACCACGCTAACGACATTAACGATGCGGTGTCTGCATCTCTTCCCCCGCTAAAACTGGCGTGACCATGCTAACGACGCTAACGAAGCGGCATCTGCATCTCTTGCAGGCTCGTCCACCGAGGCGTCGCCGCGTCCGTGATGGCCGACATCGACCGGGAAGCTGACGCGAGGATGCAGAGAGAGGCGAAGCTCGACGAACGCGTCAAGGTCACGCAGAGGTCGTCCGACGGTGTCCAGGCAGAGAACCGGGAAGGGGAAGAGAAGAGGGTAGAGGCAAAGAACAGGGAGGAGGCAAATAACACGGAGGAGGCAAATAACAGGGAGGCAGAGAACAGGGAAGAGGCAGAGAAGAGGGTGGAGGCAGAGAAGCGGAGAGAGGCTGATGCCAGAAGTGTGGTGCCACGTACGACGCAGTCGTTCGCCGCGTCCACGACGAGCGAACCTTTATTCTCTTGGGAGCAGCAGCAGGTAAGTACGTATGTCCGAACTAGAACGCACCGTCTCAGACCCGATCACGACCTGCCGAAAATAATACTATAATAACTAATCACAATAATACCTGGAGTGAATAATAACAGTGTTCTCATTAGGAACCGGCAAACGGCCGAATTAACCGTCTACTCTGCTGTTTCGGCCAGTTACAAATGGCTCAAGTAGGATATTTAAAAAAAAAAAAAAATTTATTTCCATTTAGTTTGCTCTAATTATTCTCCAAAGTGAAAGTGTTTTATGAGCTACTACTAATAAATCAGTTGAGTATATTTATATGCATGTTATGTGCACAAGAAGCATTGTTTTGTTTTTGAGTAACGCTATTTACATACTTTGATTGTCTAACTCTTATAATTACTAAATCGTCATAATTTGGAAACTTCTGGTGAACTCTGAATGTACCAGGAGAAACCAAATTGGAAAAAAGGACCATACTGTAATACAAATGTGTCTGTTTACTGCAGCTCAGAATACACCAGATTGCATCTCAGAGCATCTAGGTTTTAAAAGAAAATTTTGGGGGGTACCCCCCCCCCCCGCACTCCCCCACGGCCTGTTGCAAAAGCATTTCGGCCTGTTACTATAAAAGATAATGAAAACCCTGTAATAATCTATTATTATTCACTCCTGATAGTACTAATAACTAATACTATCATGTACGTGTGAAGGTGAGAAATGCTTGCAGCTACTTATTGGGTCATTTGAAATTTTTCATGGTTGTGTAAGAGAGCGACGTGCGTAGGTTGCTGCGTCCGATTGTGATATACGTCGTTGTGTTAAAGCAATGCTGCCCTCTTTTGGCCAGGCGGTTTATCGAAATCTTTAATAGCTGTGGGCTTTGTTTGGTTCAGGTGTTGATATGGTGATGATAGCGAACTACAGGTTAAGTTATATACTTTGTTGTTTTTCCGTAGGGTGTGAGTGATCTATTGACTACTGCCCGAAATTTTTTCGCTTCTGAATCGCGGAACGTTGTACCTCAGCCCTCTTTCTCACAACCAGTGCCACAATATACAGAGTTTAAGGTAAGTGCAGAAGGGAAAAAAAACAAAAGGTTGATGATTTTTCGAACAGCAAGTTTGCTGTTCCTAAGAAGTAATCATGAGATCAATTATTGCTTGGACCTTCAGGGTTATATATTTAGCTTCTAAAAAGTTTTCTCCACATTTTCAGTTTCCCGAGGAAACAAAGGGACAAGATTTGTATGTAAATGAACTCAGGTGAGCAATGCAAAACTTGCGATGTCTGTCTTTGACGTTAGCGTGTATGCCAAATAAAATCTTTACAATAGGACAATCTGCATGCATGTTTAAAAATGTTTACATATTTACGAGTGAAGCAATACATGTACACATCAAACATACGGCATTTTCTTTGCAGTGAAAGCTATAGAAAGCAGCAAGCGAATTCTCAGGTAAGTAAAGACAGCAAGCTTTTTCCTTCTTCCTTCATTTCCCATATGGTGGGCCCCCCTGGTGGGCCCCCCCTGAGGGCATAGAACAGAGATTAAAACAGTCAAACCTGTATATAAGGGCTACTCAAGGGCGAAATTGCCCTTTAGACGTTAGAGACAGGTCGGTTCTATAGTGGAAGTTTCACTGAATAACTACCACTGAAGTGAAACGCAAAAAGTGTCCCTTATTTTATAGAGGTGTTCACTGACAATAGTTAATTAATTAATTTTATTTATTATTTATTTAATTAATTATATTTTTGTTAAGTAATTTATTTAACTTTTTGAATAACAAAGGCATGCACAACCAGTGCAACACACTGATCGGCGTTTTAGCGACGAATTTCACGCATAATAGTGGGAAACTGACCCAGACATACTACCGTGGCAGTGTTGTCACGCGCTGACGTTAAAATCGTCTACGGATCCCGGAACTTCAACCTGTAGATCGAATTATAACCATGGTCGGCTAGTGGTTGAGATCAAGGATCCAATATGCCTCTTTTCCGTGGCCGATCGCTCTTGGCTATTTCTATCTCTGGTTTTCAGGCGTGTGACAGGGAGACGGTCGTCTACCGCCTCGATGACGTCCCCGCGAGCATGAAGGTCGGCGACCTTGACCCCGGCGACAAGTTCTTCGAGTTTACGGTAGAGGACGTGAGGAAGAGAATGGCCGACCTCAAGCACGAGAGGTGAGCGTTAGGTCACAGCGGGCGTTGTGGCCGCGCTCTCAAAACTGATCGAATGCATAAACACTGCATCGTTTGTCTCTGGCGTATCGCTCTCATCTCGCTCGCTCTGTCTGTCTGTCTGTCTCTCTCTCTCTGTCTCGCTCTCGCTCTCTCTCTCTCTCTCTCTCTCTCGCTCTCGCTCTCTCTCTCTCTCTCTCTCTCTCGCTCTCGCTCTCTCTCTCTCTCTCTCT